CAGGAAACAGTATTGGTTCCCCAGGTGTCTGGGGCCCCAAGACTAGGAATGACGCAGGGCCCAAACTAGGAGTATAGAACGGGGGGGGGGGGGGTGGTGATGGAGGGGTGAATGTGGCTTAGGGAGTCCCGGCGCGCCCACTGTTAATTTTTTTAAATGGCTAAATGAACATGTAATGCTGATCTTATATCTATTCTAATTTTACTACCAAAGTCTATTTGCAAAAATACCTTATTTTCAATAAATATCATAAAACTAATTTCAAAGACTTTTGATTAAAGCATTTGGAAAAAATATATATTATGTTGAATTTCAGTTTTGAGGGGCAGGATTTGTATATCGAGATGTCCAGTACCTCAACATCTCAGTAGCTCTATCAACAAAAATGCTTCCTTAACCCAGTATGTCCCACACTGGTTTTCGTTGCTTACATCTGCTAAAGGTCTTCATAGTTCGTGTAACAAGGGTCAGAGTTTAAGAAGAAATGATGTTGACTGCTTAGATGTTTGATGTGAACATTATAGGTTCAAACTATACCCTAGTGCACTCTTATGTGATTCTCATTCCAGGCTGGCTTCTTCAAAAGACAGTACAAATCTATCCTACAAGAAGAAAACCGAAGAGACAGCTGGAGCTATGTCAACAGCAAAGGTGATGATGAGGGTTAAATGCATCTTTTTTTTTTTTTTTTTTTTTTTTTGGAGCAGGGTCTCCCTGTGGCCCCAGCTGTCCTGGAACTCACTATGTAGACCAGGCTGGCCTTGAACTCACAGAGATCTGCCTCCCTAGTGTTGGGATTAAAGGCGTGCACTACCACGCCCGGCTTTTAAATTCAGAGAACTGAAAACAAACTCAGGTTAGAAAAAAAAATCCTGTTTACAAGACACATAGCTTCTTTTTCCATGTACTTTTTTACATGTGATCTTGTAGCATACTATTTTTCAATTTAGGGGAAAATTTCAAGAAAGAAACAGTCACACAAAAGTTACCTTTCAGCAGTGAAATGGGTAGAAAAACACTAAAGGCCTCTATGTACTCAGGAGAAGCAAACCTTCACCAATAACTTGAAATGAAAGTAAATCCCAATTCAACCAAGTTGGATTTGAATGATCATTTCTTTTGAGGAAATATTATTGACCATATGTGCTTGCCTTAGTAAGACAAACCCACTGAATGAACATGGGTTCATTTCAAATGCATTTTTCAGATTTGTTCAAAAGTTGTTCTTTAAAATCATTTAGACATTTTCAAAGGGTTATTACCAAGTTTTCTAATAGATGAACAGGAACTAAAGTCATTTTAAAGCAGATTTTTTTTCTTGAAGACTGTCATATGTAGCACATTCCCCATGGACTGTGCTCCAATAGCTATTTCAGTAGGCTGGAAATGAATATTAAAAGCCTGACGAACAAACTTTGTGCTGAACATATATACTGGTTTGAGCTTAACAGGATGAATTCTGGATAAGTAGACAGCTGTGGACTCCCTGTGTGTATATATATGTATATATGTTTTTTAAAAAGAATACAGGTGTTGCTACAGATATCAATCCACTTGTCTCCCATAACACCTTTATTAAAAGCACTCAGAAATAAGTTTTTTAAATTTTTGTTTGTAAAACCATACTCAATTTTATGTTCATAACAGATTGTAAATATTGTACTTTAGCTGATACACATTGGTATAAGAAATATGAAAACCGTCACTCATTGGCGATTTTTAAAAGCTGTGCAAGGAATGTAGAAGGAGTTGATATTTCATAAGATAGTCACTGTCCCAAATTAAGCAAACACACAGATATCTGCTTTATTTTTTCTTGTTCTGTTTAGATTTATTTTAACCAGGTCTATAAAAACACTCTGTTATAGAAATGTAGACGCTATTCATAGACTGAGCTATGAAATACGGATGTAACTTGTACACAGTGAACATAAATATGACATCAAAATTTCCATGAGATATGTTTAAGTGGTCAGAAAGTTTTTTATAGTTTGTTGATATTATATGTTTCTGTTTTAAAAGTGAAATAGTTTCTACCTGAGTTTTAAATAATTTATGTTTGTACTTGCAATCATTTCGAAATATTTATTTCATACATGTGATTTTGACACATGTAGAATTTTACCTGGATCTATGTATGTGTAAGAAAGCTATGGCCAAAGTTTGAACATATATTAGATAAAAGGGCAGCCTTAACTGCTGTGAAAAAGCGTGCTTAATAGGAAGTTTCTGCTGCCTGCCATCTGTATCCTCAGATTTCCTGATACATGAAAGTTGCCTGTTTGTAACCCTATGGTCTGTCACTGGTGGACGGAGGGTAAAAAAAAACAAAAATGTGTCCTGAGAGTTCTGAAAGCTTTGAGCAATGAAACTTGTGCACAAAGTATCAACTCAATGTGTACAAACAGAAACATATTTAATTAAATGTATGTATTTTTAAAGGACACATTTTTGTGCAAAAGATATTTTTATGGTTGTCTCATAAAAAGTAGCTCTTTCAAAAGGAGATCAAAGTTTGTTCATAAAAATCAAATGCCAATTTAGAACTGTCTTTTTTCAGGGATGGTCTCAGAGGAAATTTAAACTCAGATCTTTACACTGAGAACCAAGTGCTAAAATTACCTGACCCTTCCCTGCCTTCCAGGTCCAAGAGGAACACAGCTGCCTCCTAGGCTGAGTTTCACCCAGTCAGAAAGGCATTTTGTTGTAAACTTAAAATTTACCTTAAAAATTCTATCAGATGTGATTTTTTTTTTTTTGCAGGGGTGAGGGGGTAATAAACTAGGTGGAAAGATTTTGAAAAAAACAATAATAAGTGTTTGTTGCTAGTTATAGGACTAACTGGCTGTGGACTTTGAAATTTAACACTTCTCAATCTGTTGCCTTGTCAGTAATTCCAGGATGGGTAGTTTTTTGAAATATCTATGTTCTGCTTATATCAAGCTACAGAAAATTTAACTTCTACTTTGATGGATTCGAGCCCTGAAAAAAAAAAAAAGAATTTCTATATGATTTCACTTTTCAATCATTACATTGTTTAATTATATGAAATGTTTATTCAGTTCTAATAAATGCTTCAACAAACAGAATTTCAATTGCTTATGGATTTCATATTTTTATCTTGATTTTTTTCATATGATTTTTTCATATTTTTCATCTTCATCTTGAAACTACTTTTTAGTTATCTCAAAAATAACTATTTTCTTCCAAAAATATACTTTCTATTTGTATATCTGTTATATGCCAAATTCCTTCATAATATATTTCTACTTTATACATTTCTTTTTATAAACAATTACATGTTACTTTGGAATCATTCATTTCTTCCAGGCTTCCTCCATAAAGTCTGATCAATCTTGGGTGTAATCTGTAAAGAATAATACATCATTGATTCTTTCTTTAACCTGCTATTGTAATTTTTCACACACACACACACACACACACACACACACTTCTAATGAAGATGGTGCATAATACTACATACAAATTGATAACCAACAAGCATTCATTTATGGCAAGGTTACAAGCCATCAAACTGAAGGCCTGAAATATCAGCACCTGTGAATAGTCCACCTTCCCTAACTGTCTAATGTTCTCCATTCCTTCTGCAGAAGGGTTAGTTGTTTCAGAACATATACATCTAGTATATACCCCGGCCCATTTCTGCCTACCATGTCACAACACTTACTAAGAATGGGTGTGCATATTTCTAAAATTGTTAATATCCATTGCTTTTGTTACTTAAGTGAATAATATGTACAGTGTTTTGAACGCTTCATAAAGATTTGATGAAAACCCCCATTGTTTTGTATGTTTTTAAAATAAAAATGAAAAGAAAAAAATAAAGGGCTTGATAAAAGCAAACTGTTAAATGCAGGGTTACGGTATTGGAGCCCGATGGGAGGGAGCTGCAGGCTGTGGCACTATTGTTCACAAAGTCTTTGTGCCTTGATCTGCCACTGCAGATAACTAAAGAAAATGCCTTTGTTCTACACAAGCTACTGAATAAAGTTACATTTTTATTTATTGAAAGTTGTGCATGTCTTCTTCCACTTCCCTGATTTACTGGTTTTTAATCCACTGCCTGCTTTGGCAGTTGAGAGAAGACTTCCTATAGTCTATTAGTATTGTCTGCTGCTCCACACAGAAAGAAAGAGTTTGAACTAGTTAGGCTTACCTAACATGGACCTCTGATGCAACTTCCATTAAGTCGCCATCTACATTCCAAGGGAAATTGATTTCTGAAACAGGTTCATGGGTTGCAGCCTCCTCCCTTGGGTTGTATCCACTGGTATTATTCTTTGGATAGACTTTTACTTCTTCCACAGTATAATTCTCCACAAAGGGAAAGTTGAACTAAATAAAATGAATACACATAATCATGATATTTGTTTTCTTTCTAACTGCTGATGGAATCAAGAAAGTTTGCTGTGTCTTCTCTTATACATTAGTCCCACCATGCATACTGATATTTTTTAATTAATTAGTCAATTAGCTGATTTTTTTTCAAATATAACTCATTTTTTATTTGTTGTTTTGTGTTTATATCATACAGAACATCCCAAACAATCTTATTCATCTATAGACCCACATCCCAAATGGCCCCCTCCCATAGACTCCACCCCACCCCCACTGGAGCCCATATACTCTGTCATCTCTGTTACTGTCCACTGAGCTTGAAGCTCTGGCCAGATAGCCTCAGAGTTTCTGAAAGAGGAACTTCTGCCCTGAAACTTTTCAGGCTCAATCATATCTACTGTGTGACAAAGAGTTTGGACCTGTGAATAATTGTGCCCATTAATGATGTATGTTTTCTACTTAAAGACTGAATCTTCAATTGATACATAATCTTTATATATTCTACTGGCTTCATCATTAATATGTTTAGGTAATGTGAAGAGAATATTCACTTATAAAAGAGAAAGGAGAAAGCCAATCAAATATAATTTTCATTGATGTTTGCCCGCCTCACACCCTTTTTGACAAAGGAACACGGGTTGCAAGATATTTGTTACCACTCCAGCATGGCACCAGGTAATGTTCAAACTGTAATGTTTGTTCTTTGCCCAGGCAATTATCAGGAAAAATACAATGAATTCTCTGAAATAAAGAGAATTAGCCAAATAATTTTAGTGGAAAGGTACAGAATTTCATTTTGGCTTTTAGGCAAATGGCCTGAGATTCATCCCTCAGGAAACACATTGCTCCACAGTTGTCCCCCTTCTGCATATAAACTTCAATGACGCACAGTATTTTAGAAGTTGATTTTTAAAACCTAATACTGTCCTCAGGACCCTCATTTTACATATGTAAAACATATGTCCAGCATATGTTATAGTTCATACCATACAATAAATCAAGTCACATAATGGATTATAGAGTGGCATCAGCTGTTTTGATTCACCTGGCATTATAAGGGATCCAAATCAACCTGGCTCTCAGTGAAACTACTTGAATGCTACATTAGACATCTCATACCAGGTGTAAAACCTGGTGTACATGTGTTATAGTTTTATGTGTTACTACATAATAACTCATTTTAAAGTTTATGCACTTAAATGAGTTTATCAACCACTGTTAGGGCTTAAATTATGCCCATTCCCCATCTCAAATATGCAATCCAAATCTTGGTACCTTTGCATATCACCTTAATTGGAGGTCTTCAAAGATACAAACAAGCTACCAATGAGGTCATTAGGATGTGCCCTAATCAGGTATGGCTGAGGTCCTTAAAAGGAAGAAGAATGTCATAACAATCAGAGATTGGAGTGATTAAGCTATAAGTTAAGGGTTGCCACACAGATTCTCACCACCAGCCTGTCTGTTACCGTAAATCATCAGTCTACATGTGCACACCTCAGCCATCTATTACATTTGTTAGCTATGAAGCCACAGGCACTGTGAAATGGGATTTGAGGAAACCAAACTCTTAGTGATATTTAAGGGATGTCTTGAGGGAAGAAAAGAAGTAGAGTTACAATTATGATAGAGAAACAATTAGATGGTGCAATCCAATCCTGAGTCCATGAAAGAAACAAGAAGTGAAAAAAAAAAACCAAAACTCAAGAAGTGGGGAAAGCTTCTCTTTTAAGCTGAATCTAAACACTCAAATTTTAGTCTGGAGAAGGCAAGGAGACTGGAAAGAAGAAAGGACATTTACAAAAGCATAGAAGTTTGTCAGGCAAGTCTAAAGAATCTTCAACATGAATTATGGCCCTGGCCAAGAACTCCTGTATCAAAGCCCTAATTCTATTTTTCTTTTTTTTTAAAAAAAAATTATTATTTTTATTTTATGAGTACAAGTGTATTGCCTGCATGTATATGAGTGCACCCATGTCATGCAATGCCTCGGAGGTCAGAAGCAGGCATTGGATTCCCAGGGAACTGTAGTTAAGGACGGTTCTTAGCCACCATGTGGGTGCTAGGAACTGAACCCAGGTCTTCTGCAAGAGCAGTCAGTGCTCTTAACCACTGAGCCATCTCTCCAGGCCCAATCAAAGCCCCAATTCTGAGTGTCTTGGAACAAAACTATTTGGAGATAAGTTTTTAAAGAGATGGTTACATTAAACTGAGATCTGTGTGGCAGAAGCTAAGCCAACTTAACTGGTGAGAGGGAGAAATGTGACCACATGGAAAACACCAGGGATGCAGGAGCCCAAGGGGAAAATCAGATGACGACACACAGTGGGAGGACAGCCATGCTCCAGTACTCACGAGGAGCCAAACATACTGGTACCTTCCTCAGCTTCTAGCCACCAAAAATGAGAGAAAAAAAAAAAAAAAGGTTGTTTACAAAGGACTATATAGTCCACGTTGAGGAAATGGCATGCTAGCCTCAGTGAAGAATTAAGCAGAAGAGAAAGCAGGTGCTTTGTAGACTCCCTTCAGAAAGAACTATGAAAGACAGACCAAAGAAACTGAAGACCCAGGGGAGGACATTATAAGTAAGAAGGGGAGAGGGTTAAATTCAGATGACAGAGACATTTAAAGAGGAGAAAGAGCAGCATCAGTTGGGGGGCTATCGTGAAGTATAGGGAAGGGGAGTTTCAGAGAAACTCCAATATGGGTAGAAAGTACTGTGACCAGAGGGAAGAGCTGGAGGGGATAAGATGTTGGACCCAGGATGCCTTGGAGAGTTATAGATTTTGCCACACAAGGGGAAGCACAGTTGTCCTGAAGATGTGAAAAGATGATGGGAACCTTGGTGAGAGCATGAGCTTAGACAGACAACAGCTGAAATAGCGTGAACAAAAAGATCACTCAGGAGATGGCATCCCCAGAAGACAGGAGAGCTGCAAACCTTCTTGAAGAAGCAGCAGCATCTGAGAGTAGAAAATACTTCCCAAAGGTGGTCACAGAGAGCGAGAACTGTGGGGAGACAGAAGAGCCAACGAGAGGGTGGAGTTGGAAGGATCCTGAAAAGCGGTTCTACCCTCTATCCTATGGAGTTGGGAAGGAAACAGGAGGGACTACAAAAATGGTGACTTTCAACAGACATGAGCTGGGTGGCACACACCTTTAATCCCAGCTCTTCAGAGGCAGAGGCAGGTGGATCTCTATGAGATCAAGTCCAGTCTGGTCTACATAGCAGCTTCCAGGCCTGCTATGAACAAGGAGCCCCTGTCTCAATTTAACTAACTAACTAACTAACTAACTAAGTAAATAAATAAATAAAATTAATTAATTAATTAAAAAAATAATAAATAAAATCAACAGACATGTACAACTTTCAGATTAAGAAAAAATAAAGTTGGTTTTCAATGTTCAAAAATTTAGAAAAGTCTGAAAATATGATTTCTTTGAAAAAGTTCTACAAATCTACAGATTCTCCTCAAACACACATAACCTATTACACTTATGTGTTTATTTTGTCTTCTTTTTAAAAAAATATTATTATTTTGTATGTGTGTGTATTGCCTGCATGTAGGTTAAGTGCACCCATGTGATACAATGCCCAGGGAGGACAGAAGAGGTTGTCAGATCCCCTGAAACTGGAGTTATGGACAGTTGTTAGCTGCCATGTGGATGTTGGGATTTGAACCCAGGTCTTCTGCAAGAACAGCCAATACTCTTAACTGTTGAGCCATCTCTCCAGCCCTTATTTTGTCTTCTTAGAAAGTTATAAAGTTTGAATGTATTGAATTTCCTAAGACCTCAATTCCTAAACAGTCCAGTTGGTTATTCAATAAATGCAGCATGCAGAAGACAGTGCAAACTTCCCAAAGACTTAATGAGAAGTTTGAAATTATGAGGCAAAAGTGGGACTCAGGGGACTGGAGAGATGACTCAGCAGTTAAGAGCACTGGCTGCTCTTCCAGAGGACCAGAGTTCAGATCCCAGCATCTACATTAGGTGGCTCACAACCACTTGTAACTCCAGCTCCAGAAGATCTAATGCCCACTTCTGACCTCCCGCGCGCGCGCGCACACACACACACACACACACACACACACACACACACACTAACAATAATTTAATTACATTAAAATAAAATTTATAAGTGGGACCCTTACTGTGGCTAAAATGTGTGAACAATAGTCAACCTCTGCTTGTTATCTAGACTCACTACCCTTCCCCTCCCATTTTCTCTCTCCTAACTACATTCAAGCACCTTTTATACCCTTAAGAATGTGTGAAACTAGGACTGGAGAGATGACCCAGTGGTTAAAAGCACTGACTGCTCTTGTAGAGACCCTGTTTCCATTCCCAGCACCCACATGGTGGCTCACAACCATCCATAACTCCAGTTCCAGGGGAATCCAACATCCACTTCTGACCTCCATTAGTAATGCACAACACAGGTGCACTTACAGACATGAAGGCAATATACTCATACTCAAAAAATAAAAATAATAAATAAAATATTTTTTTATTTTAAATTTT